TTAATCGTTATCGGCTAAAGACCACAATTAATCATGATTAATTTTTTGCCAATATTGCCCAACCCTATTGTGTTTAAAAAAAAAAAAGACTCGGTCAAATACGGAAAACGGTTGTGTAACATCGAAGCTTCGTTAGATCTGAGGAGATTCATTAGGAATCTGACTGTCAATCAGCGTTCAGACCTAAAATACCATAAAAAGAACAAATGTGTCAAACGGAACGTGGGCGTTCCGCCACTAACGGTTCCTTCTTACAGCCATCTGTTTTCTTTTTCTTGCGATTATTATCTGAATTTTGTCTTGTGAGCAGACAAAATGTCAGATTGCTGTGATTCGACTAACATAAGTTATAAAATATGATGTGGACTGCAAATTACCACTCTAATTGGGAAATAAAATGTGACTGTTTAGATATTTCGTACTAGCTACACACCTGCTCAACACAGCAAGAGCATGGTCCACAGAGTTGTTTTTAGTTGAAGGGTTGAAGGAAGAGAAGAAAATGTTAGACAAGGAGGAAGATCTGTCATTGAGAAGAAAAGCTTGTTTTTCGGTGCCGCCGGTGTCTCCACGCTGTCTCTTCCATGCACAAAAAACATGCCATCTCCTTCCACAATTTCTTTTATTATCTGGCAACGCAGAGACTCGGCCAGCTGCTCCTCGGTGAAATGAGTGCAGTGGAGTCGACCCTCAACAAGCCCACAAAGTTCTGACAAATCTCACAAAACCAGGTGCACACACCTGTGTGGGAAATGGTGTGAACAGAACGGGTACTTAGAGGAGGTAGAAACTAAAAAATATTTATAACTCAATTATGTCGGTGAAATGCTAGATAACAATATGACACTTCTACATCAATTATGGATATTTTTATTGCTGTGTGTTTAAATATTGTCAGATTTAAATTCAGCTAATATATCTACGCATTTATATCATTGTTAAAAACGAAGCAAGAGAAAACAATAGATCTAAATCCCAGCGGGGAAACAAATCCTGACAACGCCAGCACAGTGTTGTTAAACACAAGCCCGGGATATAGTGTGAAAATTTCTTTAAATATTTATTCACTGAAGAATGTATCGGGCAGAGAACCTGTCTCACCTCAGATGGCAGAAACCTGTTCTAAAAAGGACTTTTACCTGGCGGCCCTGCGTAACTTCTGTGGTCGATCCAATTCAAGTTATTTGATTTAAAACGTCCACTGTAGTTCATTGAGCTCAGCAAACAAAATATGAGTTAGTTACAGATGTGTAAAGATTTATTGTGTTGTAAGAGTCGTCCCAAACACATCGAGCAACTTCCTTACTGCCATTTTAAGATGCTGAACATCACCTGTGATGACAGGACGCTCCTTTTAGAGGACGTTTATAAAATTGTTGAACTAAATCTGAACCTGGAGGTGATTGATGAGGCTTTTCTCTCCACAACTCAAACTAACAAAGCTTCTGTTAGCAGGTGCAGAGGGGTCTTTTTGTTTTTGTTTTGTTGTTTTTCTGTGTGCTGTAGTGGCCGTACGAGGAGTCTGATTACACTGCTGCTGATGTTACACTAACCCCCACCCCACCTCACCCCACCCTGTGAGCATTAATCAGCCTGCCCATGTGAGCACAGCTGCAGCAGCCTCGCTCAGGTTAGCTGCTCGTGTTCAGGAGCCTCTTTAATTAAAGCGCCTCACGGTGAGCTCAGATTCAGGAAGAAGATTTTAAGGTCCGTGTGTTTCTTGGACCAAGAAGGAAGAAGTCAGGTCAGAACATTCTGCCGCCAAGAAGACATTTTTGGTTTGTTTTTAAAAGGGGCATTTAAAAAAAACATTCAAGATTCTATATTTTCAATACAAACGGCCTCACTCATTCAGTACTTTCATAAATGTGACTTTGGTCATGCAAACCAAACGATTTTATTCTCTGATCATTTGCGTTTCACTTGGTTCTTGTCGACTTGCATCTTTTCTGTTCAAGTTATTTGTGACCCATCATATCGAAATGAGGACTAAGTCAAATTTGGTCAAAATGACCTAATTACATTTTCAGATTAATGGCTTTAAAAGCTACATTTTGATACCTGGATCATTCTGATATCATAATTAAATCCATATATATGACTTAATTTGTCTTGTTGGTAACAATAATACATAAATATTTGGTCTGAATCCTAATTTTGTCATTTTGATTTTTGATGTCCTTATAAAGAGGAAACTTCAAATTACAGCAGGTAAAATAAGTATTGAACACATCACCATTTTTCTCAGTAAATATATTACTAGAGGTGTTAATGACATGAAATTTTCACCAGATGTTGGTAACAACCCAAGTGATCCATACATACAAAGAAATCAAACCATAAATGTCCAGAAATGAAGTTATTTGTAATAATGTGGAATGGCACAGGGAAAAAGTATTGAACACACTTACTGAAATTTATCTAATACTTTGTACAAAAGCCTTTGTTGTCAATGACAGCTTCAAGACGCCTCCTGTATGGAGAAACTAGTGGCATGCATTGCTCAGGTGTGATTTTGGCCCATTCTTCCACACAAACAGTCTTCAAATCTTGAAGGTTTCGTGGACCTCTTCTATGAACTCTGATCTTTAGTTCTTTCCATAGATTTTCTGTTGGATTCAGGTCAGGTGATTGGCTGGGCCATTCCAGCAGCTTTAGTTTCTTTCTCTGAAACCAACTGAGAGTTTCCTTGGCTTTGTGTTTGGGCTCATTGTCTTGCTGAAATGTCCAGCCACGTTTCATCTTCATCATCCTGGTAGATGGAAGCAGATTTTTATCAAGAATGTCTCTGTACATTTTTCCACTCATCCTTCCTTCAATGATTTGAAGTTTGCCAGTACCATATGCTGAAAAACAGCCCCACACCATGATGTCCCCACCTCCAAACTTCACTGTTGGTATGGTGTTTTTGGGCTGATGTGCAGTGCCATTTGACCTCCAAACATGATGTGTATTCTGGCATCCAAACAGTTCAATGTTGGTCTCATCTGACCAGACTATATTCTCCCAGTATTTCACAGGCTTGTTTAAATGTTGTGCAGCAAACTTTAAAGGAGCTTCAACATGCTGTTTCTTCAGCTGTGGAGTCTTGCGTGGTGAGCGTGCATACAGGCCATGGTGGTTCAGTGCATTACTTATTGTTTTCTTTGAAACAATCGTACCTGCTAATTCCAGGTCTTTCTGAAGCTCTCCACAAGTGGTCCTTGGCTSTTGGACAACTCTTCTGATAATTCTTTTCABTCCTCTGTCAGAAATCTTGTGAGGAGCACCTGGTYGTGGTCGGTTTATGGTGAAATAATGTTCTTTCCACTTCTGAATTATGGCCCCAACAGTGCTCACTGGAACCTTCAGAAGTTTAGACATTCTTCTRTAACCGATGCCATCATTATGCTTTGCAACAATAAGGTTAACCATTAACCCTGATCCCTCAAGCATTTTTTAATGTAGAGAATTCGCAAGAACTAACCGTCCCAGACCCTGAATTTAACCAATATAAGCTATGTACAGCCTATACCTGACCCCATTATCTCAAATTAACTATTATCCCTTACCACAGACCCTAAAATTAACCATTAATCCTGATCCCTCATGTTAACCTCAGACCCCGGACCCAAAGAGCCCTAAGTGATGCAACCCGGAAAAGCCGCGGGTGGCACCCCCCTCCCCCCCCCGCGTCAATGTGTTACGAGTCCGACATGAGAATGTGTTAATTTGGCACAATCTTCTCATAACCTGCTGGCCAAACATTTTACCCCCCTCCACATAAGAATATTGTGTATTTGGTCTGAAGGTCGTGGGAGTGTTTGTTTATGCTGAAAGTGCTCCGATGCTGCCTTTTGTTTCAACCACTCACTTAAAAAAAACTACTTGCTTCCAGAAGCTGACTGTTGTAGGCTACCTGGAAGCAGGTTGATCGGTCCATTGGTTGGTTGATCCGTTGGTCGGTCCATTGGTTGGTTGATCCGTTGGTCGGTCCATTGGTTGGTTGATCCGTTGGTCGGTCCTTTGGTTGGTTGATCCGTTGGTCGGTCCTTTGGTACGTTACAATTTCAGAAAGCTGTAACTTTCACATAGAAAGGCTAAAATACACCAAACTTAGTATGAGTCATCCATTTTGCATACCCGACCATACTATGGGGTCATACAACGTCATCAAAGCCCCGCCCCCTGACAACAGGAAGTGACCTTTCTTTATTTTGCTTGAAAAGTTCCATCTCTGACTCTCTTGACCTAATCAGCAACAAATTGTGTCAGAACACAGATAATAAGTTCATCTCACTTGTTGTCAAGCACAAAGATTCTTTGGTAAAAGGTGTGGTCATGGCGGTGTGGCAAATCAGACATCATGCAGTTGACATACGTTTGGCTCCAAGTTCCACATATTTCAGCCAATCTGCACCAAATTCATTATGAGGCATGGCCTAATTCCTCCACAGCGCCCCCTACATTTATTTAAATAATCAGCCCTAAGCCATGCTTGGACCTGGAATCATGACATTTGGTACCCATGTGTAACGTCTCAGGACCGAGTCATAGTCCAACCTCCACAGGAAGTCGGCCATTTTGGATTGAAGCTTTGTTTATTTTCTTTCACATCTCTGAGCTAACTTCCCCTCCAGCTTTGAACATGCAAACTTCACATGCTGCTTCTCTCAGCACTGTGGTGTGATGATGTGGGCGTGGCAGAGTGGTGAACGTTGAGGCCTCGCCCTTTGCACACGGGTAGTTCTGAATCACACACGCATGATCAGATCCGTGCTCAATTGTGTGTGCATCATCAGAGAGACTTGCTCAACACGTTTGTGTTGTAGTTTGACAGAATCACTTCAGCCCCCCGTCCATCCGTCTGTCTACCTTTTTATGAGATGATTTAAGTAATGAAGGCCTGTGATGAGTCCAGGTGGTCTCTACTGGATGGTGATGGGGGACATCAGTGATAGATGGCGTCAAGCTCGATCTTGTCTAGTTTGTACTTATTGTGATGTTTTTTTTGTTTGCAGATCCAGAAACATGGCTGACGCACCTCAAGCTCCCGTGGTCAGCCAGCCATTGGCGTTTGCCAACGAGGAGCGGAGGGCCATTCACTCCTGGTCTCGGATCTCATCCGCGGGGCACAATGTCCTCCTGGACGCTCTGAAGATCCTCAGCCCGAAGTCCCGAGACCTTTCCAGCACCGAGGATCTGGTGACCTTCCTGCAGGAGCTGAGCGAGGAGGGCCACAAGCCCAGCGTGCTGCGCAGCAAGGACGTCTACCGCTACAGGTCCTGCACGAGCCAGCCCCTGACTCGAGACATGCTGAAGCTGGCCAGCAAGAATGTCCGACCCACCACCAAGAAGAGGAAGAGAAAGCCCCAGGCCAAAAAAAGGGAGGTGCATCCATCCTGGAGCACGTCGGAGAGGAGCAATCCCAGGATCCGAGGAATCCGGCCCCCGGGGGCGTCGGTGGACCGTCACGCCATCGTGTGCAGCCGGACGCCCAGTCAAACTGTAGAGCTGTCGCCGGCGGACCTGCAGCCGTGCCTCAGACTGACCAACATAGAGGGTCTGTCCGGCTTCCACACGGCGAGACTCCAGATCCAGACTGTGTGGGACTCTGAGACGAGTTCCGTCACCTTCCCGCTGCAGCTGCACCCCCCAACAATTTCAGGAATACCTTCTCAGCCTTCTCAGAACGGTGACGGGGTGTCCGCCAAAGCCGTGGCCTTGTTCAGCCAGAAGAACCTGTCCTGTCCCATCCGCCTGGACGGCGCCCTCATCGGAGACTCCGCTCCGGTCTTCTATGCCAACGGTCGGGGGTTCTCACAGGCCCACACGGACCTGACCAGCAATGGCTGGAGGGGCAACGGCCTCCACCGGGAACTAAGGGACGGCTGGAAGGACAAGAAAGCTTTCAGGCAGAAGGTGATCAAAGTGGACGACTCTCGCTCTGTGGCCGAGGCCTGCAGGAAGGCCCAGAAGATCCTACAGGTCAACCTTTCTCCGGTCATAGAGATCCAACCTCTCAACCACGTGCTAAGAGACTTCAGATTTCAGAAGTGACCCCCCCCAGCCCCTCCACTAACCCCACCTCCTTTAGCAGGTGTTCGTGTTTTCCATTCGTTAACCTCCACCGTCCGTGTCCAGATCCCACGTCTCGCCTGAGTTTCTGTTGCTGCTGGGATCAGAGAGGATCCCGTGGAGCTCCTGGGGTTGAAAGGCATTTTCAGATGGGCGATGCTTTTCCTAGCAGGCTGGGAAACGTCTGTGCGTCCGGCGGCTGCGGGACCCTTCTGATGTTGTTTACGCCACGCCGAACATCAGAACGACTCTGGTGCTCGTTTGGAAGCAGCGTTCGCCGGAGGAGCCGGACGTTCTGCCTTTTTTAACCAGGCACTGAATGTGGGTTCAATATTTAAAAATCAATTTATGTGTTTGGAAATTAGGGATTTTTTTTTTTTAACTTTCTTGCATCAGCTGCGTTCCGTCTGCCACAAACTATCTTCAGAGAGAATTTAAAAATGAAGCTGTTGTTTAGATGAAAGTATCAGGTGTCCAATAGAATCAGTTTAACTCACAGGAAGGATTGAAACTGTTTCTTTTATGTTTTTGTTTCCACTGGAGGTCAGGCCGGCTCTGGAGAGGAGAAGCAGCAGAAAATCACACAAAGCTGAATTAGAGCTGACGTTTTTCACAAAGTGTTCCTTCGTTTCAATCATTCATCAACCAGAAACAAATAAAACAAAAGGTTTTGTGCAGGAAATATGATTTAAACATAAATGTGTGAAAACTACTACATCTACACTGAAATGAACATCAGGTTTAGGAGTCTGTAATTTCAGATTAAAACCAGATTGAAGTGGATGCTGCACAACTCTGATCCTGGTTTTTAAAATTGAGTGTTTTCCTGAAACGAGGGTTTGCTCTCAACATAAACAACTGAGTCTGGAAAGCTGGAGTCACGGTTTGACCCGAATTAGGCTGCAGGTAAACAAACACCTGGCAGCTGGTTAGTAATATTTAAGTTAAAGACGCGTTAACCATTAATAGGAAAACAAAAATTGTGTCACTTTATTTATTGTGTTCTTATCTTTTTTTATGATTATGCAAAAAAAGTTTTCATGAATCAGTATCAAAATGTAAGAAATACAGCATAATTTAGCTAGCTGGCTCGTTAGCCTTGGGGCTCAGTTCACACTACCCGATTCTGAAAGAGCTAACGAGCTAATGGCTAGCCCGAATGTGACCAGAGGATTTTGTTTTCGTAAAGCGTCTCTAACCTCCAAAAATTTCAAATCAATTCAAACAAAATAGATTCCACAGTCCTTTACCAACGATGAAATTTAAAAATATTCCTGCAGGAAGTGGCTCCAGGTTGAACTAGAAGTGCTATAGCTTGCTGCTGCTGCTACTTGCAAGTCCAACATAATTAAAAACAAAAGGTTTTTCTGTTAGCCATTAGCTAACCAGTTCAAATGATTTATCCAGACAGAGGTTCAGAGTATCTGCAGCAGGTCAGATAAATTTGTTTCTTAATTCCACTTCAAAATGTAAAAATTTTCATTTTAATTTTGGATTTAAAGGTGTTAAAATCTTTGTTGGTCTGACGGTCACCCGGTCCACCGCTATGTTTTCTAACACCGTGTACTCCGGCTGCAGCCGTTGTTTTTTTTTTTTTTAAAGTGCGCTGCAGCCGTTGACTCGTTTCACAAATAAATATTTTTATTTGAGCCGAAGCATCACTGGATGTGACGGATCTGTTTGTAGCTCATTAAAATAAATAAAGTATCCAAGATGAGTTTTATGTTTCTGAAATAGAACTCATTTGTTGCAGCATTAAGAACATTTTAAACTAGTCGTAAAACCAAACCAGTGCTACCGGTGCTAGCTTCCCTCAGAATGCCAGGAGTTCTCCTTCAGGTCGGTGCGACACTTCGGTGGTGGCTCCGCTGCCCCCTGCTGGTTGGGATGTCGATCCTCCTGAAGCAGTGAGGAAACCCGTCGTGTTTTCTGTCGTCGTAACAAACCCCCTTTCACGAGACAAAAACTTTATTTCTCTGCTGATACTCAGAAAAAGTAGCTGAATGGTTCCAGTCCATTTTGGGCCTTTTGGAGCGAAAGACCAGGAAGGCATCTAATTTATTATTATTTTTAAATAGAAAACTATTTTATCAAAAACAACACTGAAAACTGCAAATATTTGATAAAACGTTTTATTTAAAGCTTGTTTTTTTTTTTCAGAGATGCTATGAGTTTCCAGACGTGTTTTCTGTTTGAATCCAGGGTGTTTGATCAGAAACTCTGTTCTCGTTTCCCAGTTTAAACTCGTCTGTTCTGGTGAATTCCACATTGGTGCCCCCTCCAGTCAGTCATTTTCATGCCTTTTTCTAGCTCCTGCGTTTTTGTCTTGTACGTGCAACATTTGTATTATAATGTATTTCCTACATGATCTTTGAACAACCTTTTTTGTTCAATAAAAAATGACCTGAAAAAAGTATTTTTCACTCCACCTGCTTTCACATGGGAAACATTTATTTTTCTTATGTCATCAGAACTTGGTTGATCATATCTGCAGGTACCTGCAGGGTTTGGACCAGGACGTATTGTCAACCATTGTTGCGCTCAGTGGTACAGCTCTGCTAATCCGCTAATAGTGAAACTAGCTTATTGTTAGTGATATGCTGTGCTAACTTTGGAAATATTTAGTACAGAGGTGTCAAACTCACACAAGGAGGCCAAAAATCAAAACTTGGTCCAAACAGGATCAATTTCTGCCAATATTGATCAAAACCTTTAAATAATGAATTATTCTTTTAGAAATACTAATTTTCCAAATTTTGCTTTATTTAGCATTTAAGATAACACAACGAATAAAAAACAAAAATTAATTAAAATTAAGGCATTCATTTCTTATGCCTTACTCTCTACCAACAACTTCTCATTTATTATCTTAAAAATACATTTTTTCACAGCAAATCAGCTTTAAAAAAATTCCTCACTAGAAGTTAATTATTTGACCTTTAAAATAAGAAAATACAAAAAAGATAATTTAGTTTGGTTCTCTGTTGCTCGCTCCACAAAAAATCAAAGATTACTGAAAAATTCAAACTTCTTGCCTTAACGTTGGCATGAGAAGAACGCACTAAAAACCATGACGAGAAACTACAGTATTTCACATTTAAAGTACTGCCTACGGATTTAAAAAAAAGAGGCCAGATTTGTGTTTGAGTTTGACACGTGATTCAGCAGACGGACTGGCTTCTGGTGAGTTCACAAATATAAAACTGCTTTAAGAAATTTGTCCCGAATTAAAAAACACCAATCAGTCCTGAACGTCCATGTGTTAGCATGTAGCATCTTTAGCAGTAAAACTTAGATTAGAGCATCGAAAATAAATAAAATAATGTTTAACAAAATTTTAATAAATACAAAAAGCATATGACTAACATCAAACAGTATTCATAAAAAAAATCGAAGAAATGCTTTTATTCTGAAAGGGGCGGACAAAGCATCACAAGTTAGAGCTATTAGAGATTGGCTGATTTGCCACAAATGATCCCGCCCACTTTCAAATTAAACCAATAGAAAACCTGTTTGTGTCGATCCCACCAGTCGTCTTAGCAGTTAGCTTTAGCTTCCACTAATTTTCTGTTGTTAGTAATCCTAACGTTAAGGTTAGCTGTGCCCATTGTTGGTTTCACTGTTTTTAAGTTTTCAGAGTATGGTAAGTATACGAGGTTTGTCAATGGAAACGCCGTTGTAATTGCACCAATTGACCAGGTAAATTTACGCCGTTATTCAGCCCCGATGTATTTACTGTAAACAGGTTTGTGTTAAACTTTCCTTTACGATCATAGAGGTGAAGTAATCTCTGTGTTTACCCAGTTGACCTAACTACCAAATGGTCTACTAAGTACTGACATGGTACCTAACGGTGGGCAGCACTAATCTAAATGTTACGTAGTTGCACTAACCCTAATAATTCAAATATTTCTGTCTCTTAATTCTAAAGCACTAATATAATCAAGTTGACACATGGAACATTTTTCAGTCAACATGAGACAATATTTACTGTGTGTAGGATGATGTCACTTGGCAGGCCAAATGGGAGTCACCTGCAGGCCACATTTGGCCCGCGGACCTTCAGTTTGACACGTGACCTTGTAGATAAGTGACACATAACAAAATGTGTGACAGCTTTCACACTCGACTGTTAACTATGTTGATCAATAACAGAGACCTCAGTGCTTCTAAATTTAGCCCATATATTTAGCAAGTGTTAATCCACTAACTTTTTAAAAATGGCAAAAGCCCTAAAGCACTAATCAAGAAATGAATTCCCCTATTAGTGCTTTAGTGGAACTGCGCCCACCACTGGTACGCTGTACATGCTGGGTACACACAAAGTACATACTCAACAGCTCTTGTACTTGATCTGTAAGGAATATACTTGGTGTTTCTTTGGTCCAGTCGGTGTTAAACTCTGATTTATGTGTCAAACTCAGGAGACCTGCGGGCCAGATGTGGCCCACAGCATTTTATCCAGCTGATGAAAACTTCTCAGATGAATTAATGTCATTAAAGAAGCTGTTTCACAGCCAGAATTGACCATAAACTAAATTTCCCATAATGCACGTTGGTTATTTTACTCTTGAAATGACATCGTCCCATCATCAGGTGCTTAAAACTTAAGCTTTTAAAACTGTTTCTGTGCAGGAAATACCAGGTAGAGCTCAGTTTTTTTCTCAACTGGAGCAACGAGACAAGGAACCATGTTTTCTTCGATGCTCATGGTCCTGCTGTAATTAATCTACAATCATAAATGTGATTATGTTGCGTTTGTTTCAGATTTTACTTTATCTGAATTTAAATCCTCAATGATTTAATAGTGTAAACAAAACACTAAGTTGTCGCCATCGACTGTTCCTCGTATATAAATTTTAGTTTTAACCCTGAAACCTTTAAACACACAAAAAAGAAGAATTTACTATTTTTTTGTTAATAAGCTTCGGAGAAGAGTGGGATTAATTTTTTTTTACTTCTTCCCATTCCTTTTCAAACATGTTAATTTTGTTATCACTATCATTTTTTGTTTTGTTTTTTATACGTTTGAAATAAATACTTTCAATGTCCTTCATTGGACACTAAGCCTGACAAGAGTCCATTGTGTCCACATATTGAGGACGACTCCTGGTCTGTATTTATGTGACACCAAGTAGAAGCTCCTCCTCCACAAAAAGGATTTGTTGCTCATTTCGAACCAGTGTAATAATAAAAACAGATCAGGGTTTGTATCCAGTGTGAGCTTCATGCTCCACGTCTTGTTTCCTGTTTTGGGTGCATGTCTGCAGCTGCGTTACAACGCCACCTGCAGGGCTGGCAGACTTATGTTGATGTTTGTGTGGGAAAAACCTGATTTTAAACAAACCTGAAGAGATTGTTTAAAAAAAAAAACAAGAATTTTATCTAGACTTGTTTTTTGTCTTGTCTCAGATTGTGAGTTCTGTCCTTGGAAGGGATCAGGACGGGTTTGGAACCAGTCCAGGCTGGTTCTGGGGTCCTCTGCGGCAGCAGTCAGCCAGTCGGTGTGGAAGGTCAGGGTCTCCGGTCTTCACTCCCCCCTTCATCCCCCACGGCGTTGCTTTCCTGCCAAACCCAAGCTGTTCTCTGCAGCTCGGCTCTTTGTGTTGGTGGGGGTGGGGGAGCTTCCACCTCGGTCTTCGTCACAGATGACCTCATCTGAAAACATCTTGAGGCTGATGATCCTCCTGTTCTGAGCGGTTCCTTCCTCTTAGGCAGGAGAAGCTGAATGTTGTCTGTTTTAACAGCAGCTGAGGTGAAGGGTTAGATTTAAGGTGGTCTTCAGAGAGGGAGGGAGGACCTCTGCACAGATCCTCTCCTCTGCAACAATCATGGCTGCTTCCGTTTCAATACTGCACAACATTTTACACACTAAACAGTACAACAAAATATGAAACACACAAAACAGAAACACTATTAAAAAGATGAGTTTTACGCCATCTTGAATTCTGACCCACAGGGAATTCCCACTGAATGGGGCATTCCACTTTAAATTTACGACTTGTAAATGGGAAATTCCCATTTCCCAGTACAAATGGGCTGCTGCAAACATACATCTCACTGCAACAAAACTTTCTTCAGCTGAGTTGATAAACATACTTTTTGGTCCATGAAAAACGGATCTTGCTGACGGCGCAATGAATTCTGGGATCCCATCGGCCGTGTAGGATACTCAGATGCAGCCGATGTTTTCAGGGACGGCCTACGGCGTGGGGCGGTGACTTCAGCTGCAACCCGTGAACTGACACAGCTGTAGTCGATGAAAATGCAGCTAAATAGAGACTTTGACGAATTTCACCTCAAACGATAGACTTGAATAAGAACTCAAACCCTGTGCAGCTCCACCTAGTGGTGGAAAGCTGTCATTTCACCAGTAAAATAAACAACATGCATTATGGGACATGAAGTTTATGGTCAATGCTGGCTTTCAAGCAGCTTACTTTAAAGTGTCTGTAACATCAAATTTTTGTAATAATATCAATGCATTTTCGGAAAGATAACATAGATAAAATGTAAAAAAGATTTCACGCTGCTGAGATGAACAGTTGTTGAGATATTTGCATGTGAAGGAACAGGAAGTGATGTCAAAGGGGAATGCCTGCAGGTGAACAGAGCGTTGTTACAATGGCTAACAATACTGTAGAGAATAATCTGAGGTTTCTTTAAAGAGTAAATTACCCCAAAATTAACTTTTTTTAGCTGATAAACTGTCTAGAATGTGTCTAAAATGTTATATAGTACTGTTTCTGTGCTAATTTTGATG